AAGTCTTCTTTCAAAATGATTAATTCACAGAATTGTGGAAATACTGGCCTTTTTAGAACAATTACTGGCATTTAGAACAATTACTGGTTTACAAGAAAGCAAATACCTCATTATGAATTAATTTCAAGTTTGAATGACAAAAGAATGGGGACTTGGACGTTTCTGAACTAGAATCACAAACACTTTTCACAATGAATACTCACACTTCCAAAGAATAATAATAACAAATATAAAACAAAATCAAGGTCCTGACACAAATCTTCTTGATTGGCTTGGTATATCCATTAAAACTCCATGGTATGCAGTCACATCATGCAAACCTGCACAGATTTTCCCACATTATCAAACAATTCTCAAGTGCTTGTATGGCTCCTAGCTTTAGCAGTTTGCTCTGGTATACGTGACTAAAGACAGGGGAGGATCCTGCAACTCAATTAATTTGCAGTTTATGCATGTGTAAGAGAACTAGATACACAGCTAGAGGTTTTAAAAAAACAAAAACAAGCTTTTGCTGCTGCTTATCCCAGAAGATACAGTGGTGCCTCGCAAGACGAAGAGAATCCGTTCCGCGATTCTCTTCGTTTAGCGGTTTCTTCATCTTGCGAAGCAACCCCATTAGTGGCTAAGCGGATTAGCGCTATTAGCGATTTAGCGGCTTAGCGGCTATTAAAGGCTTAGCGGCTGAGCTGCTAAAAGGCTATTAGCGGCTTAGCGGCTTAGAAAAAGGGGGGAAGCGGGGGGGAAATGGCAAGACTCGCAAGACATTTTCGTCTTGCGAAGCAAGCCCATAGGGAAATTTGTTTTGCGAAGCACCTCCAAAACGGAAAACCCTTTCGTCTAGCGGGTTTTCCGTCTTGCAAGGCATTCGTCTTGCGGGGCACCACTGTAACTGCTTAACTTTTAAAAGATGGCTGCACTGCTGGCTAAGGAATAGTGAAATTAGTGCATATTCACAGTAAGAGGCCTTGGTATATGAATTGTGAATTTAAAAGAAAACTATTACATTAATGGTACCTCACTTGAAAAAATATTACATTACAGTGGTACCTCAGGGTACATACGCTTCAGGTTACATATGCTTCAGGTTACAGACTCCGCTAACCCAGAAATAGTGCTTCAGGTTAAGAACTTTGCTTCGGGCTAAGGAAGAATTAGCATGGGTCCTGCAAAGGGAAGTCCTGCCTTATCAACCTTTTGGGATTTCTCTGAGGTTGTCAACAAGTAGGAAAGGAGTAGGCATAGGCAAGAATTGTAGGGGGCTGGGCATGGAGGGAAGCACATACACAGAGTGTCAAACAACTAGTCTCCCATTTGTGGCAAATCTGGTGACTCAGGAGCTGTGAGCCCTGGGCATCAGGTCAACACTGTTTGCACAAAGGGCTGCTATGTGGTACGACCTGTTACTCTTGTGGAGAGCAAGAAATTGCTATGGATACCCTCCCAATTTTCGCTACCCCTTCGCATAGTAGTGAGGCCCAGTAGGCACCTACAAAGAGCACAACTTTCTCTGTAGTGGTACCTACTCGATGGAATGCTTCACAAAATGCACCCACAAATTGCTTTTTAAGCAATGCACAAAAACCCTTGAATACTATTATACAGCAAAAGTATAAAAATAATAATTATTTTTTATTTAAATTGCTTGTTTAATTGTTTAAAAAAATCATAGGCCGTTATACAATGTTAGTCAAAGTCTGGATAGACCACTGCTATCCTGGGATCCTTCAGGCGGAAGGACAGGATATAAATTTAATAAATCAACATAATATAAATTCAGTAAATAATAAATCCATTGACCTAAATGCATAGGATGTAGAACAAAACATGTTATTGTGCTGTTTTGCCCTCCATCATAAGGACATATGACATACGCAGAATAGTGGTGTGTACGGTGGCTTGGATTAGCTGACAACCAATCACCATGAGCTCTACACAAAAGTAAAATACTTTTATAGAAATTGGTTAAACAAGAGCAGCAAGATGCATAAGACATTAGCATCACACAGAATGGCAAAGCAAGGAACATCAGGAATACATTTTCTAGGACAAAGTCTAACTGACGATGCACCTCACTGGATCTGAAACACCTATTCAGCCTAGAATATGATGGTGAGAAAGTTGCATTTGTATGCTTTGAGGGTCTCCTTCATGGCAATATGATGCAGCTGATCTGCTGAGATTTGATGTGTTCAATACAGCACCTATAGAAATCAGAGCCTGACAATAACGTAACTTTCATCTCCCTGATAAATGATATAGGCATGGATGATGTGACCAAAGATTTGCTGGTTGCTAATGACAGAGGAATACAAATTGCTGTGTGTAACGTGATTAAAGTAAAGATTAATCAGTGCAACTCCAGTTTCATGATCCACTGGAAAAAACTTTGAAATTTGCTTCATCATAATATTCAAACATTGCAGCATCAGCAGAACATAAAAAAAATGATCAAGGTGATGGTAAGCACATCTAAAGGTAAAGGTACCCCTGCCCGTACGGGCCAGTCTTGACAGACTCTAGGGTTGTGCGCTCATCTCACTCTAGAGGCCGGGAGCCGGCGCCGTCTGCAGACACTTCCGGGTCACGTGGCCAGAGTGACATCGCTGCTCTGGCAAGCCTGCACCAGCGCAGCACACGGAATGCTGTTTACCTTCCCGCTATAAAGCGGTACCTATTTATCTACTTGCACTTTAAGGGTGCTTTCGAACTGCTAGGTGGGCAGGAGCTGGGACCGAACGGCGGGAGCTCACCCCGCCGCGGGGATTCGAACCGGCGACCATACGATCGGCAAGTCCTAGGCAGTGTGGTTTTACCCACAGCGCCACCCGCGTCATCTAGCACATCTAGAGACTGCTTAATTTTACAACTGCTTAATGCCCCAGGTGCTAGCCAAATGATATAAATGTTGAATGTCCTATGGCACTGTTGCTTACAAAAGCTGGAGAACAGATGAACACTTTATCCACTCCAATAGTAATGATGTGGATGCTCTACATGAAGTCCCATATTTAGATTTGAAAATACGTATCTATGACTATCAAGTTATGCCGAACCTCAGAAATGTTGGCCATAATACTGATGTATTTTCCATTCTGCAGTGCCAAATCCAATGGCAATACAGTCATACCTTGGGTTAAAGTAGCTTCGGGTTGAACGTTTTCAGGTTGCGCTCCACAGCAACCCAGAAGTAACGGAATGTGTTACTTCCGGGTTTCGCCGCTCACACAGATGCTCAAAATGACGGCGCACGCATGCGCGGAAGCGACGAATCACGACCCGCACAGACGTGGGTGGCGTTTGCTTCAGGATGCGAACGGGGCTCCGGGACGGACCCCATTCGCATCCAGAGGTACCACTGTACATTCTGTCATTTTTTACTTTTAGATTTGAGTCTTGCTGCTGAACAGAAACAAACATTCACTTTTGGGCCTGATGTGCAGTCAATTCATTACCATGAATGAATATCAGCCCTCTTTCTCTCTGGTGTCCTTAGGACAAGAGGGGTAGAGGTGTAAGATGAGTTGGTGTCTGCTGGTGGCAATTAGAAGAGACTTCTCCAGTTTTCAGGGAAGTCTTGAGGAAGCCAGCACACTTTCATCCTTGTGAGGTGGCTGAAAGAGGTTATGAACTAGTTGTAGTCATCTCCTCAAACAAAGATCTTATGTTTCTGTTGCTGCAGTCCCTGACCAAAAAAGCAACTGAAACATGGATGATCTCTGTCACTGCTCTGTAAACAACTTGTTAAGCTTCCATGTTAACAAAATGCAATTCTCAATGGCCATAGAAAAGTTCTGCTGGAAGATATTTTTGAAACAGTGCTACCTTGTGAGTGGTAGTGGAGGGGATAGGTGTTACTCAGGTGCCAAGACATAGTGGGTCACGTGTACAGTTCCCCAAAGAAGAATGCCAGGCTACAAATATTTACCAAGAGCAAGAAGAATCTGCATATGTGGCCTCCAACAAAAGATCCTGCATTGCAGGAATTAGACTAGATGGCCCTTAGGGTTCCTTCCAACTCTACAATTCTATGATGTTCTTCAGCTTCCTGTTGCACATTCTAATCACCAGGCAAAGATCCAGCTACAAGCATTGACATGGAAAGGCAGAATACAAATAAACCATGGTGTTATTCCTGCACATACCTCTGCCTGAAAGGGAACCGAAATCATGACAAGGTTACCTCCTGTGTCCATTTCCTGCCCGAAACCTATGACACATGGCCACAAAACAAAATGCAATACAGTAAGGTGCACCTGTTTCAATGATTGCAATGTACTATCGCCTGAAGTTGTGATGCCATGGATGTTTTCCATCCTGCTGCCAACCGTTTACACTCTAATTTGTGCGTTTCTTCACCACCCACATTTCTACATGTCCATTTGAACCTGCTCTCTATTTACATCAAGTGACTTTAGGGTTATGGCCATCTCTCTTGCTTATGGTCGTGACTGCATAATTCTCCATCCCACCTGGATATTCCTCCCAAGTACAGTGGTACCTCGGGTTAAGTACTTGATTCGTTCCGGAGGTCCGTACTTAACCTGAAACTGTTCTTAACCTGAAGCACCACTTTAGCTAATAGGGCCTCCCGCTGCCGCCGCGCCGGAGCCCGATTTCTGTTCTCATCCTGAAGTAAAGTTCTTAACCTGAAGCACGATTTCTGGGTTAGCGGAGTCTTTAACCTGAAGCGTATGTAACCTGAGGTACCACTGTATAGGAAATGAATGGCATTTGAGGCTGGGGCGTAGAGGACGGCAGCCTTTGAGAGGGGGCCGAGGAGAGGGAGCGGGAGGGGGGACTCTGAGGGGACCCACGTGGCGGGGGGGGGGGAGAAGAGGAGCCTCAGGGGAGGCAAACGGGGAGCTCCCCGCCCGGCCGCCGCCGCCGCCTAGCAGATCACGCCAAGGCCCGGAAGCTGAGGGGGGACGCAGATAGCCCCCCCCCGGCAGAGAAACAGCGCCCTCCCCCCCCCCGCTCACCGTAACCGCCGCTCCCCTCACCTGCCCGCGCGACGTCGCCGACACCGCCTCTGCGGCCCGCCCCCTGTCCGGCGCGCGCATGCTCCTGTCGGGGCGAGAGGGGGAGGGGAAGCGCAGGAGGGGAGGGGGTCCCCCAAAGGGCCTTTGTGGGGGCTTTCCTATTGGTTTCCCGCAGTCCCTCCTGAGCGACAAAAGCCGCGCGTGGGCTGAATCTCGCGAGGTTGTCCCGTTGGGCCTCGGTGGCCAGAGAGAGAGGGCGCGCGGCAGTGGCGGGGAGCCGGTTCAAGGGGACCTGAGGCGAGCGTCTCAGGTGGCGGGATCCTCAGGGCAGCAGATCCTGAGGTAGATCGTTATTCCCCACTTGTTTCTTGTGAACAGTCCTGTGGGGCAGCTCAATCCCCATGGAATTCACGGGGGCCTGCTCCTGAATGCTCGAGATGGTGGCCGCAGGCTTCCCTCAGGTGCCAGGTATCTGGACAACTGCAATGCTTTGCTAGGGAGGAAACCAGAAAAACAGCCACGTCTCTGATCTGTAACCTCATGAAGTGCCAAAGAGCCCAGCCAGGTTCAGGGGCCACCAGGCGTCCTGGTTCCAGTAACACGCAGGTGCCCTTCAGTAATGTTTTGTATTTAAGATTGTTAGGAAACATACTTTGGATATGTATTCTGGTGGGAGTGCACCAGGCACATAAAAATTCTCCCAAATATTTCCCATAGCCTAAAGACTTGTGCAGCCAAGAGCTTAGCTCTTGTAGCATTGCTATGGCAGTATACCCTCCTGAGAGAGACTTAACAGCAGGCTACAACCATGGATTCAGTGATCTATGAAATCTGACCATCTTTTAAGTGCAGATTAACTTTCCTCTCTTATTTTAAATTAATCTATTCAGATTTCATAGAATTGTAGAATTGGAAGGGACCAAAAGGCTCATCTAATCCTGATTGAACAAAAATGAAATGCTTTTAAGCCCCATTGATTTCAATGGAAGAGGTTTGATTTAAGCATGCCTTACAACTCCCATAGAGAATTAAAACTCTATAGCTATCGGGCCAGATTAAAAGGTCAGCTGTTATTTAGTAGTCCTTGAAAGACTATTCCATCTTTCAGTGTCCACAAGACAAGTAGTGGTAGTCAGGAGGCATAATTCTGAGATCCGTATCTCTTGGTATTACGCTGTCATCTTGTAACATGAAGCTGAATGCTGAATGTCAAACAGTTGTGTAACATTCAGAATAGTAATCTGTATGCAAAAGTGTTCTGAAAACTAGAAAAGTAAATAACAGCCCCATTCAAAGAAAACATTTTATGAAATGAGTACAGTGGTAACTCTGGTTACAGATGCTTCAGGTTATGTGTTTTCGGGTTGCGTGCCACGCCAAACCCGGAAATACCAGAGCAGGTTACTTCCAGGTTTCGGCACATGCAAAGAAGCGCTAAATCGCAAACCACGCTAAATCGCAAACCACCATGTGGTGCTGCGGGTTGCAAACACTGCGGGTTGCGAACGTGCATCCCACACAGATCACATTCGCAACCCGAGGTTCCACTGTAAAAGTAAAGGGACCCCTGACCGTTAAGTCCAGTCGCGGACAACTCTGGGGTTACAGTGCTCATCTTGTTTTACTGGCCGAGGGAGCCGGCGTTTGTCCGCAGACAGCTTCCGGGTCATGTGGCCAGCATGATTAAGCCGCTTCTGGAGAACCAGAGCAGCGCACAGAAACGCCGTTTACCTTCCTGCTGGAGCAGTACCTATTTATCTACTTGCACTTGATGTGTTTTTGAGCTGCTAGGTTGGCAGGAGCTGGGACCAAGCAACAGGAGCTCACCCCATTGCAGGGATTTGAACCACCAACCTTCTGATCAGCAAGCCCTAGGCTCAGTGGTTTAGACCACAGTGCCACCCGCATCCCTATGAAATGATTAGCATATCAATTAAGATATTTCAGATGAACATGTCACAGTAAATAAGTATTGGGATATGTCCATAAATTGATCTTGTTTTCAAAAGTGCAGGTAGTTTGTGTAAAAAAAGAAGAGAAAAGTAGTAAGCATGTATGTGCATTGTAATACATCTTGTTGATGTGCTGGGCCCAGGAGTAACCGAGTAACACGGTCCAAGTCCGGTCCCGAATCCAAGGGTTCCGTGAGGAGTCAGTCTGACAGGGCCAAGGCAGGACACAAGGCAGGAAACCAGGCAAGGTCAGGCACAGGATCACAGGCAGGTTCTGGCAAACAGCAGCATTGCTCCCGCAACCTGGGGTAGGGTCCAGCAGCCTTTTATCTCTGTAAGGGTAACGGCCAGTCCTGATCCCCCAGTGACTCACCTCCTTGTCTCGCCCAAAGGAGAGCACTGCTCCTGCGAGTACCCAGGTCTCTCCTCTCAGACCTCAGTCTCTGCAGCTCGGGAGATGTCAGTGGGTACTAGATCCAGAGGCCGCCTCAGCCTCTTCTGATCCAACTGGTGGTGGAGCAGCTGTAAGTGATTGCCCAGCTGAAGGCAACAAGGTAATCCCCGCATCTGGAGCCAGGGCAGGCTCAGGCCCCTGACTCTGCCCAGCTGGTGCTTGTTGCAGGGGAACCTGTGCAGACTGGGGCTCTCCAGAATCAGACCCCAGACTAGGTTCAGCTGCCACCTGAGGCAAAGGATCCGGTGCGGACTGAGACTCCTCTGGCTCCGAGTCCAACCCTGAGTCCCAGGCCACCACACCATCCCCCCTCCCAAGCCCCCCTCCGGCCGAGGGTCCAGGCCTGGCTTGCTGGGGTAAGCAGTGTGGAAGGCCTGGAGGCAGTCAGGTGCGTGAACGTTGTCCGCTGGTTCCCAAGAACGGTCCTCTGCCCCATATCCCTTCCAGTCGATGAGGTACTGGAGCTTTCCTCTGCGGGACTGGGAATCGAGGATACGTTCCACCTCAAATTCCGGCTCCCCCTGCACCGACACTGGCTGAGGCCTCAGACGGTGTGGGTGAAACTCATCAGGTGGGGTGACTGGACAGAGCAGCGACTGATGGAATACTGGGTGAACCTTGAGCGTTGAAGGTAACCAGAGGCGATACGCCACAGGCGACACCTGGGCAGTGATGGGGAATGGACCCGTGAACCGGGCATCCAGCTTCTACGAGGGCCAAGAGTAGTGCAGGTGACAGGTGGAGAGCCACACCCGATCGCAGACATCGAGTTCTGGCCCCTGCTGATGGTGGCGGTCAATCTGGGTCTTATAGGTGTTCTTGGCCTGGCCTAGTTGCTCCATTAGAAGTTGCTGCTGGGATTAGAGCTCCTGTAGCCAGTTCGTCACTGCAGGAACCGCAGGCGCCGGCAGCATGCTTGGGAACAAACACTGGTGGTACCCATAGTTGGCCTGGAACAGGGTCTGTTGGGTGGAAGCGTTCACTGCATTGTTGTAGACGAACGCCAGATAGTCGACCCAATCATCCTGGTGGAAACTGCAGTAGCACTGGAGGTACTGCTCTAATACCACGTTCGGCCTGTCCGTCAGTCTGCGGGTGGTAGACTGATGATAGACAGACCTCTGTCCCGAGAGCCTGGTGTCGGCTGTGCCAGAAATGGGAAGGTGAACTGAGCACCACGATCAGAGATCAAGCGTTCCGGTACGCCATGCAGGTGGAAAATATGCTGCAGGTACAGTCACGCCTTCTCCTTGGCTGAGGGCACAGACGAGCACGGATCATTAGTGAAATGATCCGCAAATACCAGGAGGCAGGTACACTGACGAGACGGGGGTAAGTTCAACACGAAGTCCAACAAAACCGTGTGCCATAGATGAGGCGGGACTGGCAGTGGCTGAAGCAACCCAGGAGGTCTCCCGGTCGATCCCTTGGCCCACTGGCAGACGTTGCAACCCCCAATGTACCGCGCCACATCGGCCTTCAAGTGGGGCCACCAGAATTCCCGACTTACCAGGTGGGTGGTCCGATGTCTCCTGAAGTGCCCAGCTGCCGGGGCATCATGAGCCATCTAGAGTACCTTGGCCCGCAATGGTCCCGCTGGGATGTACAACCTACCTTGGTGCATCAGTAAACCCTGGTGCAGAACCAGTTCTGGATATGAGGGCATGCTCTGCTGACCAATTCCCAAATGCGTTCCTGAGTCCACACGTCGATTCGTTGCTGCTCCTGCACTTGATCCTGCAGTGACTTGGTCTCCTGGGTAGTCAGGAATTCAGCTGGAGGTACGATCATTGTTGGCTCCGCCTGCTGCACCGTCTCCGCAATGTCCTCTGGTTTCCGAGACAGAGCGTCTGCCTTCTGGTTTTGGGAGCTAGGGATGTAGCAGATCTGGAACTGGGAGAAGAGCAGCGCCCACCACATCTGCCGCTGGTTCAACTTACGGGTGGTCTGAAGGTATTCCAAGTAAGAACTGGTGGTCGGTTCTTACTTCTACCGGGTGTTGAGCACCTTCGATGCAGTGTTGATGCGGTGCGGACTGAGACTCCTCTGGCTCCAAGTCCGACCCCAAGTCCCAGGCCATCAAAGTTGAGGCAATGACACACAAGTCTATAAAATTGTGCCTCAGGTTATGGGACAATAACTTTTTTAAACTTTGACCTTTGTCTTGCATCTTGTGATCACAGAAAGTGTATGAATACGCTTAATAGAAGTTAGTAAGTGCTAATAATTTTACAAACTTTGATAAAGGGACTGGAAACCAAGCTTTATGAAGAACTTTTGAGGGAGTTGGGTATAGTTGCCTGGATAAGAGCAGACTGAGAGGAGATATGATAGCCTTCTTCCAGTATTCAAAGGGCTGTCACATGGAAGATGGAACAAGATTTGTTTTCTCCTGCTCTGGAGTCTAGGACCCAAACCAATGGCTATTTGACTGCTGATTCAGGATCCTAAAGTGTGTTTTATATACAGTCATACCTCGGGTTGAGTGTGCTTCAGGTTGAGCACTTTTGGGTTGAGCTCTGCGGCAACCCAGAAGTAACGGAGCGTGTTACGTCCAGGTTTCGCCGCATGTGCAGACACTCAAAATGACATCACGCGCGGAAGCCACAAAACACATTCTATTCAGGATGTGAACGGGGCTCCGGAACGGACCCCGTTCGCATCCCAAGGTACCACTGTAATCAACTTTTTATTTCTGTTCTT